CTGGACCTCAACCGCAAGGATCCGATCGCAGTGTGCACCGCTGGACCTCAACCGCAAGGATCCGATCGCAGTGTGCACCGCTGGACCTCAACCATATATTTTACTTCTTCTAATGCCAGATAGAATGCCAGGTAGATTGCCAGATAGAATGCTGCAAGAAGATATGCCAGATAGTATGCCAAATAGTGTGTCAGATAGATTGCTAGATACATTGCCAGATAGAATGCCAGAAAATATGCCAGATAGAATGCCAGATAAAATGCCAGATAGAATGCCAGAAGATATGCCAGATAGAATGACAGATAGTATGCCAGACAGTATGCCAGATAGTATGTCAGATAGATTGCCAGATAGAATGGCAGATTGAATGTCATGGTGGGGATCACTCGAAGTAAAGTAATTTTTGTACAGGTCCAAAAGAATGAATCATAGGCCCAGAGTTCCTGGCCCCTGGTAGGGGCTATTTCCGCAGTCACTGGTGGGCCGTTGCGAAGTTCTTTGAGTTGAGCCACTTTGGGTTCGGCGACGAGGTCCGCCCGTGCGGTTCGGTGGTGACTGGGTGGAATTCACCGCAACCTGACGGTGGTCTTCAGCACTAACTAGGACTTACTTTTGTTGGTAAAAAACAAGATGAGTGAAGCACATGCCTAGTATAAAGCCTCAAGAGGCATCTCACAGCAGAAGGGTCTCTTCCTATTCTGGACCCCAACAGGCTTTGAGAAAACTCACTCTTGAAGACCTGTCGACGTCCTGGCGTGAACCGAGAAGCTTCCGTCCTCATCGATGTCGGGGACCTCCGGTGCGTCCTTGAGGATCAGCAACTGTGGCCGAGATGCCTTGAGGAGTTCACACCTGGGTGCGCCGTGACGCCGTGAGGTGAAAACCCTCCGTACGTGTCGTCGCATGCTTCGCAAAAATGTGTGTCGCAACTCGAGGGTGCTTCTGGTGAATCATTGACCCGGAACTCCCTGCAGCAATAGCGATCGGATTCAATTGCAAAGCTTTTGACATCCAATGGCATGGATCCAATGGTCGAATTACTTTCCCTAGTTCTCCAACCACATCCTCAAAAGGTATTTAGCCACCCCAACCACCTTCTGAGGATGTGAGGATTGTGGTTGGAGCCCTAGGGTTTATACTTGGAAGTCATGAGGCAAGCACCATCAACTGAACTCGCAGCAGCATGGCGACAAATTACCTGTTCCCCGACACAGATATTCTCAAAACAATGTCTTCTCAAGCCTCCTCCCTATATAGAATGCTGATTGCTCAGTCATGCTAGTCCAAGCAAGTCTTCTCAAGATCTCTGTGTGCGCGCATCAGCTTGACTGCACATATACTGTATATCGCTCTTGCAGCAATGTCATCATCCGATGAACAAACAAGAAGTAAGGGCCGGCATGAACCGCACACAAACAGCTTGCAATGTTGATCAGAGAGGTTCACTTGGACGTGGGATAAAGAAAACAACAAATATACCAATTTATATATAGTATTATACCAATAACAACAAATATACCAATAACAAGTTAGCAAGGGAACTGACATGAAGGAAACACACATCGCCTTTCCATACCTACCCCTGGAAGCTGCGTTTTAGACCCCTGATGACCGCTCCAAAGCCCAGGCGCCCTGTGTGGAAGTCAGCATCACTGAAGGGGTTGACCAAAGTGGTGAGCCAGCCGTCTTCCTGGGCTGCTCTGTATGGCCGTGTGGCTCACGGCAATGGACCAGGCGCATGATCGAGGATTCTTCTATATCGAGGATGGCAGATGTTGTTGTATCTTGATGATCTTGAACCCTAAAGCGACCACCAATACAATGTTCAAAGGGCCACTTAAGTAAGGCAAGCTTAAAATGCTGAGGACATGTCACAACATGGCAGCTGATTCCAGCTTTGTGTCACATGGCCAGATCCCCTCACACTGTCACATCAACAAGTCTGTCTGGGAGTGTTCGTCTTTGTGAACTCTTGCGTAGTATGTTGTGTTTAAAGCAGACCTGAGTGCTGAAAGCTAAGTGCACCTCTAAGCCTTTAAGCATCAAGTTCCAATCCACCCCACAGATTTGGGGCCCACCCTCGGATGTTGCGCCCTCATCACAAGCAGTCTCAGGGAGGAGGAGACCTGCCAATCTCAGCACAGGCGTCAGTCAGCTCCACATAGAACTCCACTAATTCCTCAATGGCCAGCGGCAAATCAGTGTGTTACCAAGCTTATTTTTCAAAAATACGCGTGTCCAACTACGTATCCACTGAACTTAAGCTTCAACTCCTGCTGCTCATGGCAGTTTCATTGCTATTTTGGGATTCTGCCGAACTGGCATAAAACACCGCTGTGTCGCTCAAAAGCGTCTTATACATCTTACACTCTGTTTATACAGGAGTGGTTTTCTTCTGGTAAACCGTCTGCTCAACAGTCCATTAATTGCAGCTGGGAGTCTTCTAAGGTCTTGGCTTTTCCAACTTCTAACTCGTAGGTGGACTCTGCCTGTGCCACCACTGAGCTGGACAACGATTACAGTGGACCGAAACGCATGTAATGACCTGTAATGAACTTATTTTGATCAGCGCAGGCGCGACCCTTAGAATACCATCAAATAGCTCAGAAAAAAGGAAAAAAACAATAATAAAACATGTACGCCTACCTCATGATGTCCTCTCTACATCAAGATCGGTCCTTGAATTCCAGCCAAACCGGTTGGTCTCGCTGTCCCGTTGGTTTGGGCTTGTGGTGGCTCGGCTGGCCTCATTCCAGGCCTCTTCCGCATACACAAAGAAAATGCCTGGGCCGAGGCAAAGGCCGCTGGGAGAAGATTTGCACTCGATCTGTACAGTGCCGCAAATGGCCACATCATCATCCAAGAGGGCCAATCCAACCATATTCACAGTTTTGGAAACAACAAAGGTATATAGACCCCCAAATAGATAGAAAAGTAGATCTCCACAAAATATACATTGGAAAACGTTTCTATCATGGGACCACTATACATATGTCGGGAACGCCCACTCATGTCAAACACGGCGCCACGGTGTCTCTTGAAACAAACACCCAAGGTGCCATGAGTCGGACGTTCATGTGCGACTGCGTCCATGGCTTTCTTGCAGGCCTGCCGGTGTCAGCGACAAACCGCGAGGTCCCATCGGATCACAAGAGATCGATGAGTCATGAAGCACAAATACAAAGCACAAATGGATAAGAATCCTGACTGGGAATGAACACACATCCTCACATTCATGTTGACTGGATCCCATAGCAAACAACCAAAACAACTACGGCAATCAGGCACACAGGCCCTACCAGCCGTGCCAATCAAACAAGTGCTTTGAAATCCCCGACAAATCTCTGTGAGTTGCTAAACGCTGTGTGTTGGAACCTGGGACAGTCCCCGGAGCCATGCGGGAATCATAATCTCAATCCACAAACCTAACTTCTCCCATTTATAGAATTGAACACAACCAGAAATCCTTGAAGTTCAGACTTGCACCCGTTTTCAACCCAGTTCTTCTACACCCAGTGGTGGCAGACTATGGTGCTGGTCGCTCTAGCTGTGCTGGTCGCTCCTCCTGACTGGCCTGGAAGGTCTGGTGGAACGTGGGCATCACATGTGCCACGCCCTCCACCACCAACGAGGCAGTGGTCTTATCCGCCTGCCAGTCGCATTGCGCACAGCACACACACCCGGTCTACCCGGACCCGTCTTAGCGGAAAGCCACGGGTCCGCACTGGTCCGCAATATGTGCGGACCGTGTTTTCCTTAGGGAACGAAAACGAAGGCAGATGCTGGTACAACTTGGGTGAGTTGGAAGTATGCCCCACTGTATGCCGTGCGAACAGGGAAAAACCGGTCTGAGGCGGAGAAGAGGTGAGAAAGTGTCTTCCATTCCGCAAAACAGGTGGAAGGAGTTGAGGCTGGGAGGCGACGTCTTCGGGAGTGTAGAAAAGGGGAATGGATGTGCCAACTTCTAAAGGACAATTTATAAGAACTGATATGACTGCTGATTCCTGCTCTTTTGGTATGAACATGAGGAACGGTCACTCGAGTTCTAGACTCAAACCTTCTTGACGAAAAAGCCCAACAAAGACCCAACAGTCAGATACAGCCGGTTCAATTCTGATTGTTTTCCAGGTGCCCAAAGATGCCAACGAGGTCTACCATCTGCCAGCCGCTGCCAGCCAACCCCCAAAACGAGGTCGGCCTGCAGCCCTTTCACTGCTTCCACCTTGGCAGTATGCAAGGCCTCAGCGAAGTCAGGTGTCGACTCGATTGGTGCAATCAGCAGCCACAGGCTGCACAGGTGCCAATCTCGACAAAGGAAGCAATGCTTCTGGAGTTATCTCATCAACTCCTGGAGATTTACAACTTACAACTCCAAAACAAGCTGTGCCCGAGAACGGAAGTGCACACTCCATCACTTCTGTTCGTCGTGTGTTCCATGCGTGCCCTATCCCTTTGAAATCATCCTAATAAATCTGCCAAACACCAGTATCCTTGTCATTCTCACCTTCATTCAATAAATATCTCCCATTGCACGAATCATGATCTTGTGCAACGTCGGCGCTTCTGCCCCCGGGGGTGACCATTCCGGCCTCCAGCAGCTGCGCCAGCATCCCCAAGCTCGGCTCCGCCTCCTCCGGCAGCGCGCGCAGCGCGGCCGCGCAGCGCAGCTTCGGCAGGTGACCCCCATGGCCGCCGTGGAAGAGAGGCACCGCGAAGGAGGGCCAACGGTGGCCTGAGGGTCACTGCGGTGACTTCGGTGTAGACGTCCTTTTACAAGAGAGAAAGAACCAAAGAACGTACTCCCCCTGCAGATTAACATGGAACCAAAAAAGGGACCACTGGTTTGGTAATTTGGAAAATGGTCGAAACCACGAGTAATTCACGAGTAACAAACTTCTCAGGTTCCAAAATATGTCCTGTTGCTTTCCAGGTGTTGATCACTTCAGAGGTGTTCAAGTACAACTGGAGATCAGTGTTCCAAAGCCTCCGACCGATAGAGAGAGCGAGACCGAGAGACCGTCAAGCGCGGTACTGCGGCCAAGCAAAGCAGCAATGGAATATGCCATAATATGCCCATGTTTGCAGTGTAATTATAGGAAATCCACCCATGTCGCCAGCTCACAATGTCGATACCCAAAAGTTCATCTCCCAAGTGTTCAATCCCTACCCCAGGAATTTGACGTTGAACATACCTCAGGCTTTAGGCTTTTCGCATTCGTTTGACCCTCAAAACTTTCGCCAAGCCAAAGCACGCCATGCGCTCACATCTTCTGGCTTCCTCAAGGGTGGCGACACCTGCTCGCAGCCCACCTGGCGCTCACAGCATCCCGCAGCCCTGCTATTTCGGTGGATGCGTCAAGTCCATGTTACTGCTGGCACGAGGAGTGGGGACCAATTTGCTGTAGGACTGACTCAAGTCGGTGAGGTTTGCTCAGATTGTTTGCTTCTATAGTATATATTAGACCAATATATTTTGTATCATACCACGGCCCCTGGGCGTCCAATAATAGCTCCTTAGAGGTGATTCGGGGTGTCTATGAACCACCCCCTGGCACCGGGGGCGTTCATACGTCCACTGCTGAGGAAAGAACATCTGGCCACGTCCAGCCTTTATGAGACAATGCTGCAGGAAGGCCAGAACATCCAAATTCGTGGAAGCAGCAGCGGCGAGCAACCTGAATGAGGTCCGGTGGTGGTTTTCCTTGACAAATCGAGACAACAACCCAAAGAACCCAGTGGCAGGGTGGGAACTCATGAACAAGAATGATCTTCAATCTTCATGTCATGGTAGTTGCTCTTTAATATTCTTTTTGACAACAAGTTCAAATATCTTCACCAACTCATGAACAGTTCAGGTTGTGCAAACTATGAAGCATCTTGACACCAAAGACCTTTGCTTCTCATGGCTTGGAGCAGGGGCCCCTGCTCCAAGGTGGAGGAACAAATCAGCGAAGTGAGCAAACGTCCTTTTTTGGTGCAGAAAGGACTGTTGGCGTCTCTTCCACTGCCCTGAGTTACAAAACAAATCAAAATCAACACACTCACTGATCATCACTGATCCCCTGCAGTCCAGTAGTCTTCCCCCCCAAATATTCAACATCTGCCCCTCATTGTTTTCATCCTATTTCATCCCCCCTCCCCACAAAAAGCAGCCGTTTCAGTGCTTCGTTCCGAGTGGCAGCTGGTTGCAAAGCGAGAGCCCCACCTTCGGCGCTTCCAGCGGTCCAGGCGCGCCCGTCAGGTCGCCTCCAGCGGTGAATGACGTGATCACGGTTGAAGCTCAAATTAGGAGTGTAGAAAAGGACATGTGTTGAGGACTTGATGTTGAAGACACTCAAGTCAGAACGTGTAGAGTCAGGAAACGTTTTATTCTTTTCTGACTTTTGTCTTGAGGACTTGATGTTGAACGTACCGGCATGCACCAGCACATACTCGACGTCGGGTGCTCTGAGCAGGTGCTGGGGTAGCGTTCATGCGGTGTCGTCAAACGCTCTACGCGTCTGGTCAATATAGTCGTCGTTCTCATAGATTATTGAAGATTTTGAAGGTCTGACACGTTAATGACAAAGCTCGGTGCACCTGCTTTATATCATTGAATGTGTGGATAGGTTTTTTCTTTGTGTTCAACATCTGCATAATTATATAACGAGTATACTATTGAACACCCCACCCGTATAAGAAAGAACAACAATCTATAGCCTATAGCTGTGGGCGTTCCTTTATTCAGGTTCAGTGTCTTTTTACACCCACACTGCCCACGATGGCATCCGGCGAAAGGACACGCACAGTGATGTTCCACAGTTCCACAGCACTCGTCGAAGCTATACTATGTTATACTATGTTGCACCCGCTTGACAAGTGGATATCCTCATGAAACATCAAACAAAGCCCACACACCATCAATAACTGTGTCTGTCTATTACTTTGTTCACACTCACACCAAACCCGAACTCGGAAATGGTGTCTGGCTCCGAAACTCTCATCCCTGTAAGTCATGCAGCCAAACAAGGAGCTGAGCAAAAATTGGTCTCCAAAAACTGGGCCCACTTGTGGGTGAAGGAACCCCCAGCTTACGAACGTCATGCCCTTCTCGCTGGGCGAGGGGCCAATGTGCTCCTCCAAGGAGATGTACTCGTCCACATGGAGGTTCCCAAAGGACTTCTGGAAGAAATCCTGCTGATTCTCCAGGCGAAGAGCGTCATTGGGGCGGACGACCGAACAGCAACATTCCATGTGTGAGAAGACAACTCATATATCTGTAGGACACATTAAATTTTAAGACCTAACATACTCCTTATAAGGAGTGTTTTCGGATGTGTTCGGCCATCGTATTTGCCTGATATATTCATTGGTCTTCCAGTTCTTCCCGATCGGACACTAGCAAGGTGGACCCTTCGATCGTACCGCTCTGGAGTTGTGGCTTCTGGACGCCCCCCTCCGCTGGTTTCGGAGGGTGATCCAAACTCAATGAGGCCGTCCACCGGTGGGTGGCTGCAGGCGTCCAATGGGTGGAGTGCTTCTGCTGCTTGGCACTCTGCTGCCGATGAGGCGTCCGAAAGGTGTCTGAAAGCGTCGGATCTGTCAGGCCCATGAAACACACATCTTGTTAAGTGGCAAACTTGTTACCCAATTAGCCGTACCTAGCAGCTTTCCACAACATGCAAACCATTCAAACATGCGCCCACCCCCCTTGTCCTGATGCTCCACTTTCTCTCCCATGTGACCCATGTGCATTACCCTTTCTTCCCACCCGGTCCACCGGTCTGAAGACACCGGTCGACCAACGTCAGTCGACGTCTGACCGCGCCTGAAGGAAGGCCAGCCAGCGCTCTTCGGTGCCCTCCTCCACGGTGATGGCCTCGCCCATCGTAATGCTGTGGATTCCTTGGTATGACTCAGAGAGAAGGAAGGGAGAGAGGAGGGAGGCAGGTTGGAGCTGCTGCTGGCAGGGAAACAGCACTGAAATGGTCTGAAAATGTCTGAAATGTCACTGTTTGGTGGTGGAAATAGGGATGAGAAGTCACCTGCAATGATGGTATCTTTAAAGAAATGCAGGCACTTTGCACAAAAGTGCTAGTGTACAATCCTCCATACTAAGTGACTATGCAGAGTGGTCATATTTCATCCCTTGAGCATAAACAGCGGTATGGACTCTTTCAAAGAGTCTTCCCAAGTCAATCCCCATGGACCCCAAACGCGCCCTCAGAACTCCTGGCTCAGATGCCCAAGACCTCCAAAGAGAATTTATCGACAAAACCTCATGTTTGTTTCAGGAACTCCCACTTGGAAAGCGTGATCCACTAGTAAAAAAACAAACAAAAACACCTTAAGGGGGATTTGTTGTTCTTTTGTTTCCAACTGTCTTTCAAACACATCCAAGGCATCCACTGTGGATGTCCCACATCCTTTGGCTTTACCAGTCCCAAGGGTCGGATATTCACACCATGGCTGGCGACCACCACATGGAAGGTCAAACGGTTCCTGCCGGTGGACGCCGGTGGGGGAAGCGACCAGTTCGCCACCGCCAACAGCACCACCGATGAGACGGGGATATTTGCCTATCAGTTGGGTAATTCGGCATATCATATGACTATAATATATCAATCTCAAACAGGTCGTATGTGGGCAGATCCATTCAGATGGGAACACGATGCGAGATGTAGAATCATGTAGAAGCTCTGTGCATCTCTGGGGACCCTCTGATTGATGCCAGTGCCACTTTTTGCTGGAGGGCGTCCTGAACTCATCAGCTGGATGCTTTTCGATCTGCCATCGGTTCATGACCGCCACAACTGGTTGCAGGTAGAGGTGAAAAACATAAAACCATCTAGCAGTTCGACAATCTGACTTTGGTGACCTCAGCAAGCAGTCGCTGGGAAATGCAATCAAAAAAACATTATCAAACATTAACATATAGTAGATATTAGTAGATCATAGACTAAAACTGCACACGAACAATCTGCAAAAACAGCAGCTAGTGTACGCTAATACAAAAAAATACTAAGCTAAGGCATTCCTTCTTTTCCATGCCTGGAAGGCTCTCTTCACTCATGGCTTTTCCAAAGGGTTCAGAAGAGGACTAATAATTAATCATCGTGAATCCCTCAAGCCTCTTGTCTGAAAGCCCTGGTGTCACATGGTGTCACCGAAGTCAGGCCTTGCCCGCCCACCGAGCTATCTCCCGTCCCCGCCTGGCTCTGGAAGCGTCCGGCCGCAAGTGCGCGAAGCGCGGCACCGAGAAACTGCTCTTCGAGAGCTCCTCGTGCCGCGAGCGCCGAGCGCCGCGAGCGCCGTGCACCAAACCGGTCGTTGGGCCGCCGCTCTGCCACAGGTGGGAGCTGTTTGTTGTGGGAAGGACGTGGGGATCGTTTCCAAAGGGAACCCTGGGTGAGTTTGGGTTCGGTGAAATATAGGATCAGGTCATATATTATCTTAGATCCTACAATTTCCTTTGGATGCAGGTTTGTATGTGGACGGAGTCCACAGCGAAAGTACTCAAATTATTATCAAATGATCTTATAGTTCTGGCCTCTTGACTGCCATTGCTGTTCCCGGCTTCTTTCATCAAGACCAAACAGCCACCCATTGCCTATCTAGCCGTTCATCTACATCGATTACCACCAGGCGCTCTTCCTTTCTGGCAGCACGCATCCTTGGAGCTCCAATAGCAGTGGAAATAGCAGTGCCCCGGCCCTGTCTGTCTTCCCCCCCGGCTCGTGTGGCGTATCAAACGACTCCTCTGCCAGGCGTGCGTAGGGGTCCTGGTCCGTCGACCGGTCCGATCGCCCGTTGCCGGTCGCCCGCCCGCCGCGGCGAGGTCCCGGCCCCAAAACGCCATGAACGCTATGAACTGGGCAATTCATATGGTGCATTAACAAAAAGAGGGGTGTAGCCGCCAAATCAAACGGACAACAAAAGAGGTGCAATGGATCATCTCGTTGTGTCGAAGGGTTCACGCGTAGAATTAGAATGCGTCGTAGGCAAACTTAACTGTTATGGCTGTTTGTAGCGTGTTCCTCCCAAGTCTGGAACAGAAGCTCAAGGAATTAACGGATCTGACAGGCTGTCCAACATGCTTGCTTCTTAGAGTTCACAGACATCAGGAGCTTTGGAATCTGCTCTTGGCGCAAAAAAAAGCAATTGTGGAATTCAGAGTTCCTTTGGGGACACAAATGTGTTGAGGTGGAATATGTTTCGAAGATCTCGCTACCTTAAAACCACCGTCGCTGTACCGTGACCTTGCCCAGCTTTTCCCTATCTCCTCAGGCATCTGCAGAATGACCCGGTTCAACGCAGTCGTCACCTTGGGAGGTACGGTACGCCCTTGGAGACCCTGAGGAATCTGAATCTAGTGAGACCGTGGACCTGAAATAGTTCATATAGTCAGTCGACTGATTCAGACTCCGTACCCCTTGGCTCTCAGATGAGAATGCTTCAATATCTTCAGGAGTACAGAGATATCTGAAGATACGGAGTTCTTCATCCATAAACTCAAATGGATGTGTCTTCGATATCTTCACTTTGCAAATTCAACATGCTTAGGAGTCCGGTGCGGTCCAGTCATTGCAGCTGGGCACACTCCCCAAAACAAACATGCCACCCCTCCAATGGCTTAGTGAACATTTCTCAACCAAGCACTTGGATGCTCCTATAGAAGCGTTTGGCTGTTTCCTTTCAAATGACCAACCATCTCCTTGTTGGAACATGTGCTGCGACGGCACTCTGCATATTGACTCGCACTCCCAGACTGACAAAGACCCACAGGTCCCAGACATTAATTGTCTTCTGGTAGTTGATTTCAATATAGCACGCTATTGTGTCAAAGGTACATCACCAATTGGCCTGAAGCTAAATTCCTCAAACCAAACCGAATCCACCAACATTGAGCAGACCGAATCCGCAATTCATAAAATCCGATACCCCTCTCACCCCCCCTTGACTGTTTTTGTTTCCGGGCCTGGGGGCCTCAAAGGAATGCTCTTTTGACAGGCCTCAATCAAGACCTTCATCAAGGATTAAGTGCTGCCCCAGTGTTGGTGAAGGTTTCCGGGCCAGCTGAAATCAGGCTGAAAAAGCCTTAAGTGCCGGTGAAGTTGCCACCTTTTCCAGCTTGTGCTCAATGATATAATCTTTCACCGCCTCAGACGCTGGCGCGTTGGCTCCGGTAGGACGCGTCTTGCAGTGTCTTGACCCGTTCCAGTTCAGAACTCATTCATGACATATCAGTGACAACTACAAAATGCACCCAAAGTTCCACATCTTTAATGTATAATTCAGATGTTTGCTGTCCGGTTGAAACAAACTATGAAACAAATAACATAGACTTGCTTAGCAAGTGGCTCCCCCTTTCAAAAGGTCCCATTAGCCTGGTTTGTGGTCACTGTGGCCCTCTGCACGGCTGGGGACAGAGTCGACCCCACTACCGGTCGACCAAAGAATACCCGCATTTACCAGGAATCGAGATCGAAGGATGCAGGAATACTCTATGGTGAGGTTCGGAGACCCTTAAAAACCAAGTACAAAACATACAAAACGATAATAAGCAACACAACATGGAAACCCACTTGAAACTGGAATGGTTCTTCACAATGAAATAACTTCAATTCAAGAAACTTTAAAGCGACTCCACTTGAATCACTGGATATATTCACACCACTGAAATGCGTTCTCACCAAGATCTTGCTGTGGACAGGAGTTTGGGTCATCATCTCTGTTTAGGTCACCTAAATATTTTTTAGAAAACCATCAGCACCCAACAAGCACAGTCAACAACCCTCCCGTGTCAAGGAGACCAGGGGGTCTTGGGGTTTTTGGGGGTGCCGTCCGTTGCACCCTCCATCCCCAGAGGCCAGCTGTTGCCCGCTGTCCCGCCACATCACCCGTTTCGGTGTCGGAACCCGAAAAAGACGGCCGACCACATCGAATCCGCAACTTACGAAGCACGTGAAAGTATCACAGGTGCCACAGATGGCCATCTTGAAAGCAACCAATAATTGTTACTGCAACATCTTCATTATAGGTCTTTCTTCGTGGTAATGTGGTGGAAGAAAGTTAAAGACATATCTCCCTCGCCACCCTCCCATGTTTAAAGCCGTAGCATCACACATGCACCTTTCGTGAGCTGGGTCTGTCCATCGCCAAAACTGGGACGCTCCCTGCCTTGCTCTGTTTCGTCCATGTCCACCATTCCTGGTTCCAGTCTCTAGGAAAAACATACCGGTTTTACCAGACCCACATGATTCCGCAACCACCATCAAAGACGAAACCCAATTGAGGTTTACCAAACCCTCTGCTTGGAAGGGTTCATGAAACCAAAGACCCTGGGCCCCTCAGGGCAGCCCCATGGGCGCTCGCGCCCATCTGCTTCGGTCTCGGTCCGAGGCGCATCCGGCAGCAGCACGTCGTTCCGGATGCCCGAGGGCGGCGCGGCGTTCGCCATGGCGGCGGCGATGGGATGGGAGGGCGAGGCGAGGTCGAGTGGAGGACAAGGTGCTGCTCCGAGTGGCTCTTGGGGGGAGAAGTGGATGGATACATAGACACGCTTGTTACAGCTTGTTCACTGTTGGTTCATGAAAGCTGGGTCTGAAAGAGCTCGGACAAGGTACACAATATCAAAGAACCCTGAATCTTAGTGGCGAAATGTGGCAAAGAGGCACGCCTGCTGATCGTGTGGATTTTGGTTACTTCATCCACCTAGCCTATTGAAGCGGTCAAGCACAGCTAGGCTTTGTGTGAAGCTCATGGGCCGCCTTCAATTCCTTAATTTCGCTTGGTCTGTCGCATTGCCTTTTCGCAGATCCCATTTGGAGGTCCAAGAAGTTGCCCGAAAACATCAAAATCCGCGAAACAGTGCAAAACTCCGCAATTGATGTGTCTGTTTGCAAAGAAAATAACGAATCAACGAACAAAAACCACACAAACACACGCGAAAAGGCATTATCTTTGCACCCATCCTTGCGATTGTTTCATTGAGGGTAGACGACGATTCCAACCCTGTGAGACAGTCGAAAGCATATATCCAATCCGCAGCGATTCAGATTTCCGGATCCCTATCAAGCGCATCAGTGTCTGGAATCCTATAAGCTCTACAAGCTCAGGTGGCTTGGCCGGATATTCACCCTTCAAGAACCTTAAGCTTGGGGGTGTCAACATGTGAGTCCAGAATCAGACCTGCCATAGGATAGGTTTGGTTATTCTTCCTTCCACCATCCAAGCACTGGCACGGAGTCCACGCCTGCTGGTGAGCCAGTCCTGAAATGTTTGTTTGTTCAAAGCACATCAACGTGGCCAAAAGAACTTGACTTAAAGGTTTTCTACGAAAGTATTCTTTGATACTTTGTAATGGAATTGTTGGAATGTGTTGGATATGTCGTTTACAGTAAATTGGTCAAAGCTGCGCTGTTTGCTCGCATGTTTTCGTTGACCGCCCAGGTAAACAATCAACTTATGTCACTGCCCACTGCACAGGAAGCAGGCATTCAATCATGCAACAATGTGGCCAGAAGGCATCAGCAAGAAGGCAAATATATTGCCAAACTGAACATGGCTGCCAAAATATCAACGTGAAATGATACACTCAACAGAAAAAGGGCCCCACACTTGCGAGCTCACCAGCAATTCGATTATTCTGGTATATTCTGGTCACGGGCAGCTGCATAATGAAGAGGAGTATGATTGTCCTTATTCCCTGGCACTCAGATCGGCGCCAGACTCCTTCATGAGCAATCGAGCGAGTTCAGAATGGCCTTGTGCAGCTGCAACATGAACAGGAGTTCGACCAATCTTGTCACGGGCATTCACATCGGACTCCTTCACAAGCAATCGAGCAACTTCAGTATGGCCTTCAGCAGCT